GCCACCTCCCATGTCCAGCCTAGTTCAAGAAGTCTAGTCCCTTCATGGGTTCCGCCTCCGGAGCTGTTGACTTCAGGCCGAAAATAAATATTTAATTCCCTCTTCCAGATCTTTGAATACAGCATATACCAACAGAACTACACCCTTGTTGTGAGTGTGTGACATTTCTTGGAAACTCATGACACTAACAGGAACCAGCGGAGAATCCATGGGGGACTGCTATGCCAAGTATTTTTTTCATCGTGGTGTTTGCTTTTCCTTCTGAAAGTTCTTTTATTCTCTTTCTCAGCAAACACTGTTATAAGCATATCTCAGGACTGCGATGTTTTGGAGGGGGAAATCTTTCTGGCACAGCATTCTACGCTGGTCAATATAGCAATAGGAAGTGTGTTTTTATCCTTTTTAGATATCAACAAATCAGAAAAACCTCTTGGTATAATTTTTTGGTGAAAAGAGCATGAGATACAAAGTAGTAATGTAATTGAGACATTTCTTTTCAATTCAAGTTACTCTCCAGTTCTTCTCAATTCTTTTCTCTCTCCTTTTTTCCCCCAAGATGAAGATTTTCCCCTGCAAGGAGAATTTCACAGGTGAAAGAAAGGTTCTTTTTTTTTTCTTCAAAGATTTATTTCTTTATTTTTTTGAGAGAGAGAGAGAACATGAGCAGGGGGAGGGACAGAGAGAGAGAGGGAGAGAGAATTCCAAGCCGACCCCACGCTGAGCACAGAGCCTGACGTCGGGCTCGATCTCCGGACTGTGAGATCATGACCTGAGCCAAAACCAAGAGTCAGACACTTAACTGACTGAGCCACCCAGGTGCCCCCAGAAAGAAAGGCTCTAAGGTAATTCTGGGCAATTTGAGTATAGGGACTGTGGTAACAGTAGGTGAATACAGTGCCATAGTGATCAGATTCATTAGATTCATTTGATTAGCCCAGTATCAAAATGGGTGAAAACGGAAGTTTGGATTCAAGTCCTGCTTAACTGGATTGACCGGTTACTTGAGTCAAAAATGTTGGAATTGGCTTTCTCTGCAGGGTGTGACCAAAGTAATGTGTAATTGCCTGTTAATTTGATATTCTTGGGTCTTTTTTATTGCCTGATCACCTATCACAATGCTCAGAGGTCCACTTAAATGACAGTAAAAATAACCCAGGTGGTTTCTGGAAGCTTAGGTTTCCACTGAAACAGAATGAGCCTTTAAGATGCCGGCACTTTTGAATGTTGTTTCAGCAGAGTATAAGAACACCTGCTGGGGGATAAAATGTACGCACTCTATAATATAAATTGTAAAATTGTAAAATATTTGGTACAAAACTGTTTCTTCACAGATTGGGGCTGTTTGTGGCCCCCGTTACGGCAATCTGAGTGAAGCGCCCCGCTGGAGTTCACGTTCCTGGGTTCGGCTTCATGGGATTTTCCCGTCTTGGGGTTCCTTTACCTCCTCACCCCTGTTGATTATTTTCTGTAGCTTCTGCCAGGAAGACAGGTAGCAGTGCACACAGCTTGGTGAACCTTCCCAAATGGAATTTCTAAATTGCCATTGGCCTTGCAAGTTGGGAAGCCACCTTGTTTTTAGTTATGAGTGATGTGTTCCATATCCCCTCCATCACTAGGAGAATTACCCTCCCCCTCCCTCCAGCAGCATAATCAGTTCCCAACTCTTTGTAGGTAGGAAGAAGCCAGGACAGAGTTCCTTTAGTCCTGATTAATGGGTGAACGGCAGCGGATCGTTTTGTTTTGTTTACAATCAATGGAAAAAAAATTAAGCTCAGGCACCCACTGGTCACGTGGGATGTGTTTGTGATCGCATGATGGAGATAACTGTATGTGAAGGTTCCCCAGTTGGTGGGAAGACAGGGTAGCACCAATCGCAATTTGTTTGGAGTTGATCTTGAACAAAGAAAAGGGAAGCGGGTTTTTTTGGTTTTGTTTTGTTTTGTTTTGTTTTCTGGGGAGAGGGTTGGGCAGCGAGGTTAAAGCACCCCACCTGTATGATGTGAGAACCAGAGATTGTCACCAAACTGGAAGAATCCAAGGCATGATGGGAGAACGTGTTGTCTCTTGTCATAGAGAAGGCTGCCACCTGGCTTCCACCTCATGTAACAACAGCAGGATCGGTTGTAAGTTCGGGGGCGCAAGAGACCTCTCATGGAGCGCCCGTTCGGTGAGGAATTGTGAGTGTGTTCTTAACTGTTTTATGGCTTGCAAATAGACTGGCCTCTAATTACAATAATGATGACTCACTGAGTGTGTGCTAAGTGGAAAGCATTGTTCCGGATGCTTTCCTTCCTCCCTTCATTCACCCAATATTTACCTAGTACCTTTCATGCGCTAGGACTCCTGGTAGGTGTGGGAACACACGAATGACAGAAACAGAAGTCCCTGATGTCGGGTAGTGCTATAGCCAGTCTCTCAGAGTTGTCCTCGATCACTGAATCTTTTACATTGTGGAGATGGACGCTGGCCATACATATTCCATGGAGCCTTGGATCGTGCGTCCTGAAATAGTGGTCCTGTTCTGCCTCTGCCCTTCAAGGGAGGGACTGTTACTGTCCCTTTTTTTACGGAAGAGGGAACCAAGACACGGAGATTTGCTCAAAATCTCACAGCTAAGATCTCTCGTACTGAGCGGCAGAGCTGGGATTCAAACACTGGTGGTCTAGTCCCAACACCAAGTTTCTTAAGTCTCATGTTACATTGCCTCTCGAGTTTGATGCCAAGTGGAATGTTTAAAATGAGTTTAGAGGATTTCAAGTAAAGGAAGGGCCTGATGGTGGGGCAGTTTTTAGATACCACTCTAGCGAGTCAATAGCATATTCATAGAAGACTACCCTTTAGAATGGTTTTGAATCTATTATTTATGGTCCTGCAAGCTCTTTAATGTACTATTCATTGAGACGGCGATCCAGTTCCACTAGCTAGATATTGGAAATTGGCTTATCCATTGTCTCATTTGATTTTCTTTGTTGGCCAAATTTTGTAGCTTATTTCTGATTTGTATGGAAAGAATGGTGGGATTAATTGACTTTCTCCCATTAATTGAAATAGTCGCCTGAGTACAGTGCCTGAGAATTCCAAAAATGGAACTGTTAGGGGCAGGTCAAATGGGTGGTTTTTTTTCCGAGCTTTTCTGCCATTGTTCTCTGTATTCGTAGCCTAGACACAGGGCCTAGCTCTTTTCAGTGCTGATCATTCCTTTTGAGCTTGTAAACGTTTCACTTTCGGGTGGCATAGATAGAAAATTAAATTCTTGGGAAATCCTAACCAAAGGGAGCGTTTTATTTCCTACTCTTTGGTAGAAATGCTACATTTTTTTCATGCCTCGTGCTTTTGCATACATACATACATACATACCATACATGTATTTCTTGTAAGAAAATTTTGAAAACAACTTCAAAAATTTCAAACATTTATGGGAACTGCTTTTCTTCAGCATAGACAAAAGGTTGGATTTTGAACAGTTTCTATAAAAGCTGTTTTGTCAGGAGACAATTGAGTCATTTTCATGGAAAGCAAAAATGTATTATATAATCAATGCCTTAAGTAAACAAAGTAGAGTTAATATCGATTCTGTATCATTATATATTTTTTTAATTAACTAAAGAGCCCACGGGAGGAAAGCTCACTTTCTTAAATGGCTTGATAAAGGAAATGACTAAAGTTGTGTTTTGTTTTGTTTTTCCTTCACGCAGTAGTGTGGCTTTCCAGCAATAACTTTAAAATAAGGATTCTGTAAAGGTGATGGTAAAGATTTCACTTGTCGGAAAGATTGTCATAAATGTAAGAAATTTGAGGCTCTTTTGTGTTTAGTGCAGGTGAGACTCTCTTGGGTATGTACAAAACGTGACATAATCTTAGCTTTTCATTTAGGCTGTCTTTGAAGCACATAGAGGTTAATGGACTAAGATATTGAAATAGTTAAGAAATGGCCGATGACGGAGTTTTTCCCGAGATCGCAGTATCTGCATCAAATTTCCTCATATTACCCACTGCGGAAATACTATATAGTATGAAAAGGTAGAATGGAAAACATCCAGAGAATTCACAGAATGTTATATGATTCTGTAGTTTTATGACTCAAGAGCGGTTCCAAGTTTACTGGTGTTGGACATTTTTAGAAACCTTGCTAAGGGGAATAAGAAAGTTGAGCTGGTTATGTCAGGGTTTGTCTTCCTGGTGCCAAACCCGAGAAGGACATCTCCCATGCGCTGGCCTCAGCCTTGCTGCTCTCGTGTCTTCAGCTCTTTAGGTCCTGGAAGACGTCATCTACAAATCTTTGGCGTGGGCCAGCCTTGAATCACACCTGGCTTTCAGGAACTTCCTCCAAGTTGCCAGTTAAAAAAAAAATACAACAACAAAAAAACAAAAAAACAAAACAACAACAAAAAAAACCCCACACTTTTTCTCAGACAGTGCAGAGAAATAGAAATAAAAGGCCTCAGTACTTAAGCTCTGTCAGATGACAGTGGTGAGTAATGATGCCTGAGTTGCCACAGCGTCCTTCCTATAGCCGTCTTCTTGACTGACGTGTGAACATCTGACCTTGCTTTGCAGAAGGCTGAAGAGATTGCCGAGGGAGGAGAGTCTGCCCTGGGACCAGATGGAGAGGTGAGGAGTTTTATGCCCATTCCTGCCTGTTCTGCTCAGTGAGTCCCTGCCATGCCCTACAGCACCATTTTCTGTGAATACCAACTTTATTTTTACTCAGCTATTCATTTCTTAGTAAAAATAGTAATACATTAGCATAGTAGAAAATTAGCCGAGTAGAAAAGGGATATACTGGAAAGTAATCTCCTTCCGTCTCAGACTGCCAATCAACCGATATTAAGTTTGTGTACCATTCCGGAGTCTGCTGTGCACATATATGTTTATGAATACATAGAATGTGTAAAAATCTCAAGTGATTCTATAATTGCATTTTCCCCGTAAATGATACAGAAGCATAAGATACGACCCAGTTTCCTTAGGGTATTACTAATTTGAAATTATAAAACTCCGTCAACACAAACAATTTACACACTTGGTGAGCTTCTTTTTTTGACATTTTTGTGTAGGCTTACGAGGGAGCTTCTCTGTGTAGATTCATCAGTACGTTCCTAAATGGGATTTCCAAGGATTTTGAAATTCTCCTGAATCATGAGAATACAATTACCTACTTAATGGATTTTTTTTTTCTCCAAAAACTTAAAAGTTCTCTGCCAAGGATTCACATGAGGACGCATGTTTGTTTCAAACTGCCTTCTCCTCTCTCAGATTCTGATAAACCTGCTTGGGGGACCCTTCTAGAATCTGTGAGTGTGAACAGCCTGGATCCAGACACAAAAGGTTGAAACCACTATTCCGTGCACAAACTTCTTGAACAATACATGTTGCTTCACCACTGTAGTCTCTCACAAAGAAAGAAAGGATCGGGATGAGTGTCTAATGTGTCAGGCACTCTCAGAGGGCCGTTCTGGGGGAAGAATAGTATATATTGGAGCACCTAGAAACGACTCTAATTTGTAAAAGCCCCCAGCCTTACCTAAGCATGCCTCACATGGGTCTGTAATTAACAAGCACGCTGGGAGAGATTTAACGTGTTACTGGGACAGTGCTCTTACCTCTTATTATCTCTTGGGAAAATTAGCCGCTGATCTGGGGCTGGTGACATACACCTTTTTTTTTTTTAAAATCTTAACACATGTGCAATTCTGTTTGCTGAAGTTGGCGAAGTGGACATCTTGCTCAGTTTGTTTTGAAATAACGTTCTTCTACTCTGCCGGGCTCATTCAGGGTCTTTGCCAAAGTTGTCATTCTAGCTACAGCAATTCCCGATTTTCTCCGAGGCATGACATAAGCAATAAAACAGGCTGTGTTGTAATAGTTCAAGATAATGGAATATGGCTTTTCCAAGGGAAGTGAGAGCGACTGGTAGGTTTCCTTCTTTACCATGTGGGTGTGTAGATGACCTTTCGCCTGAGCCGGGAAGAAATGTCATGCATGCAAAGTAATGGTGTCCACACCTGTTGCTTTAGCACACATCAAAGAAAAAAGAAGGGACAGCCTGGAGTAGGCCTTTTCTTTATTTAAAGGTTTTTTTGGTAGATAATTGCTAATATATTGTTGTTGTTTTTTTTTCTGACAGTGTTTTGTTGAAGGAGAAGGGAGAAAGAACTTTTTTTTTTTTTTGGCCATTTCCTATAAGAAATGGAAGATAAGCTACAGTATCCTGTGTTTCCTGTCATTTTTATTTAATTCCAATTAAGAACAATGGAGAAAAATTTCTTTGGAATTAATGAATTGTGTAAACATTGAATTCTACTACTTTTAAGGAGATGGATAACTTGGCCTGCTCACAAACCAAGCATTTCCAGCCAGCGTCTTGCCTGGGGCGGTCTGTCCTGCAGGTGTAGTCATCCCATAATCAGTAGCATTCGTTTGCATAGGATTACTCCATTTTTTTTAGGCCCTTTAAAACAATTTGTTCTCTGAAGCAGGTTACACACGGCCTCTGCGATTTCATTTTTAATTTTCTGAGCAAGCCATTCTTCGTGAAGAGTCTAATAATGAACTTCAGCTCAGTCTTGGTCCGTTCACCCGGTTTCAGATGAGCAGAGCTTCTGGCTTTATCTCACTCCCAGGTACCAGTGGCCGAGCTAGAGAGCAGGACGTTTGGTTCTGCAGAAGCTCAAACAGGCCCCTCGCGAGGTGACAGAAATCACAGTACCTCTTTCTTTTCACATTCTCTCGGAAAGCACGACTTTGCAATAGTTGTTGTGGGGGGGTATTATTTGGGGGTTGAGGGTTCTTCGTTGCAAAGGACAAAATGACAAGTCTGCCACATTTAAGTAGGAAGGGAATATATTCATAGGATATCGGGTAATTCGTCGGATCCCCAGGAAGCCTGGAGAGCCTGCCTTGAGGCTACAGGCCGTGGTCCACTGGACAGCTGGTCAGCGAGGCCGTGGCTGACGGAGCATCAGCAGGGGCTCGGCACGGCCCATCCCTGTGCTCTGTTCTCCCTCCAGCATGCCTGTTGCTCCCAGCTTCCCCTAGCCTTGGGCTCTTAATTCCAAGCCTTGGTGAGTACATGCAGTTGATGGAGCTGAGGTCTTGTGCCGGCACCTCGCTGCAAGGGAGGCTGGTGCTTTGGATTTCTTTAGTAGGAGGTGACCTCCCACTTCCTGCCAGGACTCCTAGGTGGCGAACTTTCCAATCACAGAAAAAGGTTTCAGATGCTGGGCAGCCAAAAGCCTGAGAAGCGTCCAGCACGGAATTGGGAGGTGGTCTTAACACCCAGCGGTGATGTGTATTTGTTTCTCCTTTCTAGCCCATAGATGAAAGCAGTCAGATGAGTGACCTGCCCGTCAAAGTGACTCACACAGAAACTGGCAAGGTCCTCTTTGGACCAGAAGCACCCAAAGCAAGTCAGCTGGACGCCTGGTTGGAAATGAATCCCGGGTATGGCATTGAAGCAGAAATTCTGGTTGTCCGGTGGCTTCCTAGATTTCTGTGGTCCCCGTAAAATCCCGGAGCTCCAACAACATGACCTGTGCCAAAGTGGTAGAAGTCATTACCTGCATTTGTCATTTGTACATAGAACGTGCTAAGTAGGTCATGCTTGTATATGTTGTCCTGTAATTTAAAAAAATTAAGCCCCCTCTCCTTCCCACTCCTTTTCCTGCAGTTACGAAGTTGCCCCCCGATCTGACAGCGAAGAGAGCGATTCTGATTACGAGGAGGAGGTATGTCGGCATCTCTGTGTGTGGGGTGTATGTGGGAAGCACCTGTGTCTATCACTGCGCCCTCCAGTGCTAGCCTTGGGGTGACATCTGGAGCCGAGGATGCACCAGAGTGACGATGATGGTGTCCAGCAGTGCAGTGACCTCGCCGGGGCTCCTGGCCAGTGGTGGGACTTGGAGAATTCTGACTCTATGTGAAACCAAGCAAAGAGAAGCAGGCGTTGTATTGGAGATGGTGGAAAGGTCTTCTGGGGAGAACTGGAGATGGGTTACTTTGGGAAGGCAGTGCCCTGCCTTACCTGGTTCACGCTGAGGCTGAGCCACCCAAAAGTTTCCGGAGTCCTTGAGGCCTTAGAGTCTATTCGAAATTGTAAGTTTGGAAGCTTCGATGAAAGGGCAATGCAGACTTGGTTTGATGAGGTTATTGATCCTCTTGGTTTCTCTTTAAATGTGATTCTTGTTTAAATTCCTTGGATATTCCCGTTACCCAAAGAGAAGCACATTTCTCAGCCTCTTGGAAGGGACGGTCAATAAATTTATCTAGAACCTAAAATGGTAATCTTGGATACTTTTAACAGAACTTAAGAAATAGTAATAAAGGGTTTTTTTTTTTAGATCATCTACGAAATGCATTATAATTACAAATAGAAGGATTAAAAGAAGATTTTATCTCTTTTCTGAGAGCATTGTTAGTGGGTAGTCATTAATTCTGTTTACCAGTGTGGAGGACTCTTGGTTCAAAGCGCACCCTGGCACAGAAGCCACAGACCGGGCGAAGCAGCCCCACCGGTCATACGGCTCACCAGGATTTTAAGACGATTGTGATTTTCTTCTATTTTGTGGACCCTTTTTTTCCCCCTGAATTACTCTACTGTGAACACTTGTTAACTTCTACAAAGAGGAGGAATAATAAAAGTTTGGTTTTTTTGTTTAAGCATACCAGTAAAAAGTAGCTGCTTTGGGTTGCATGCTATTTATTTTTTATAGGCCACTTTTGCTCTGAGATCTTTGAAGCTTCCAGAATCACTTTTAAAAATGTTTCTTGTTCATCCCGATGAACGGGTCCATACAAGATCCATTGGAAGAATCTTGTCATTGGGTCACAGAGCCAGGGAGGGACGAGGGACAGAGGGACTGCTGAACCCACAGATGTCAGCCCAGGACAGACAGCCCCAGACAGCTCTGGGCAGCTGGGAATAGAATGAACTCTGACCTGGGGTCTACGAACCCGAGTCCCCGTCTCGGGTCTACCACTCACAGCAAGTCACGTCCCTGCTCAGAGCCTCATTCCTCCCCTAGAAAACGAAGGGGCTGGACTGATTCCTCGCCTCACCCCCCAGCCTCTCAGTGATCAGCTATCATAGGTTTGATTGTTAGCCTGAATATCATGTCAGTTCATGTTTTCATTCAAGAGTCATGGGAAAGCATTATTCTCTTAAAACCTGCTTTTAAAGAAATTCCACCGGAGAATCTGGAAGGGTTTAGCTCTCAACACCAGTGGTTGGTCATGGGCATAATGACTACATAGCAAAGCTTTCCAACAGATCAGCAGAACATAGTATGCAGTTGAGAGGAGGAGGTCATGAATCCATTGCCAAGTTACTGACAGTTTTCATCTAAAGACTGAGAGACCTTGTGATGTGAAGTAGTCCCAAAGCAGTGGGTTTATAAGCTCCAGCCCCACTACCTGGGATGCATGGAGGATATCCAAATCCCACCGGTAAATTACCAGAGAGCATTTTTATGAGAAGGGCAATAGTAAGCCTCTAAGTCAGGCTTTGGAGAGAAGACTGTAGAATGCTTCTAAGTGAGAGCAGGTATGATGTGCAGGACTCTTTGATAACCAAACAGTGATAAACACCCATCTGCGGTGACTTTTACCTGTTTATTCTTGGGAGCAGGAGTTCTAATGGGTCCTCAGAGGGTTTCTTCTGTTCTCTTGCTCTATGATTTAAACAGAAATGGAATGGCGTATGGCCTGGTTTAGGGAGGTGTTAAATTTACTTTCTCCCTTCATCGTATTTACTCTGGGAAACTGAATACCATTCAGTCTCTCTTCAGAAAGTGCCAATCCTAGAGATCCCTCGTTGAGATGGAATCCTTCCTGTGTCTTTACCCACCCCCCCCCACCCACACCCCAGGATGAAGAAGAAGAGTCCAGTCGGCAGGACACGGAAGAGAAAATACTTCTGGATCCAAACAGCGAAGAGGTTTCTGAAAAGGACGCCAAGCAGATCATTGAGTGCGTATCGCTGTTTTCTCCCTTGTGAAAATGTGTGTCACGAGGATTGTGCTTGACAGATTTTCCTTCAGAAAACTTTGTCTGAGGAAGGAAGCTGACCGACTCCGTGGCCATGTTTCCCTCGAAACGCTGCCATCAGAGGTCACCACTGTGCTTCGGGTGCTCGGCTCCTTCCTTCCTCCTGAACCCCCACCTCCAGCTCAGGTCACTCCTCGGCTTCTCACCGCCTTTGCGCTTCACCCCAGACTGAGCTGATGGGGGCTGGCCCCGCTAGCTGGCTGCTTTGCTGTCTTCCCCTCCTCCCTCAACGCATCAGCACCCACCCAGGGACGCCCGTGAGAGATGCCGTGTCCCCCCCTCCCCATGTGGTCTCTGCAGCACCCCAGGACCTCTCAGCACCCCATCCTCCTCCCTGGGTCCGAGTGCCAGCTCTGTTCTTCACTCCGGCCATTCTCCATGTCAGCTCTTTGCTTGTGCGGCTCTAATATTAAAACTTGGGGGAAATGATATGTAAAATAGAACATTTTAAAGTAATGAAATTTTTTTGAAAAAGTGGAAATAGGCATTGTAATATTTTCTCCTTTTTTTTTTAAAGATTTTATTTATTTATTTATTTATTTGAGAGCGCACGAGCAGGGGGGAGTAGCAGAGGGAGAGGGAGAAGCAGACTCCCTGCTGAGCAGGGAACCCGATGTGGGGCTCCATCCCAGGACCCTGGGATCATGACCTGAGCTGAAGGCAGATGCTCAACGGACTGAGCCGCCCAGGTGCCTGTATTTTCTCCTTTGATTCGAGGGCTGCAGGCCCCACACTAGGAAACTTTGTTTTCTGGGTCCACCGCTCCTCCTTCACCGAAGGTTTAGAACCCCCCAGTGGCTCCTTACTGGCTGTGGAGTTGAACACCAGCTCATTAGCAAGGCATAGGAAGCGGAAGCTGGCCTGTGTCTACCTCATCTCTGTGGGCATGGTGCTCCCTCCCTCAACTCCCTCCCAGCATTCTGGGGATGGGATTTATCTTTGCATCTGGAGAGCTTACGACGGCCTCCCTGGCCGCGAGGTCATCTGCAGGGAGACAGTTCATGCTCAGATCAGTCATTTGAGGTCAGGCGCACCTGCATGCAGGTCCTGACTCCACTGCTTTTACGTGGCCCAGGCACATGAACTAACCTCTGTGAGCCCGAAGTTCCCCACGTGCGTAAAACGGGGATGATGCTCCTGTCTAGCTTGCTCACTTTTTGTGAGGGTTACGGTAGATCCTGTATTTTAACCGGAAGACATGCCGGCAGTGACCAGTAAACCATACTTCCGGTAGCTGTGTTAGGCTCTCCATTCGCTCGCCCAGGGATCTGTGGATGATGCTCTGCTATCTCTGTCCCAGGACAGCCAAGCAGGACGTGGACGATGAGTACAGCATGCAGTACAGCGCCAGGGGCTCCCAGTCCTACTACACGGTGGCCCACGCCATCTCTGAGCGGGTAGAGAAGCAGTCGGCCCTCCTCATTAATGGGACCCTGAAGCATTATCAGGTAAATGGTGGGGGCTGTGCCTTCTTGGCCAGTCCTGGTCCTTCAGCTCACTTCGGTTCGCATGTGTCTTGCACATGTGTACAAGGATTGCTTAAGGAGTTTGATGATGGTGAGGCCTTTGGGGTCACGTTGCTTATAATACGATGATTCTCCCTAATGCTTACTTCAGAACGCTTCCATTTTACCCTTACGAGGGCATACCCATTTTCTCTTTCGTGAATTTAGGATGGGTTGTGTTTTAAGAAATACGGGCTTAACGTTTGGAACGGTTTTATTGTGGATCTCTTCACAGCGGAAAACCCAGCTACATCCTATGAGTAGAGGGAACATCTCTGCCTCGTCTTGTAGTCAATGAAGTATTTCTTCCAAAACTTGAGTGGTGGCTCTAGTTTAATACCAAGGATTCAGCTTCTGGGAGCCGCTGTCTACTACACGTATGCTTTTTCTAAGACACAGTAAAATGGTGACCTTTGGTGAAACGTACACTGTAAACAGAACAGACGTTTCATCTGACCTGTTGGAATAAGGTCAGCTCCTATCTTCTACCTCCTACCACTTTGGCATTTCCCAAAGTGTGTTCCTTGGAACACTTGCTTCATGAGATCTCCCTTAAAAAGGAAAATAGGCTCGTGGTCAAATAAATATAAGAAATACTATCATCCAGAGGTAGGACTATCTTATAATTTACTATTGCAGATTTGGATGCTTATGAGAATGAATAGGGGCCCTTCTTATTAATACTGAGCATAACCCAGGATGATCCTGAGCCAACCAGACATATGGGCACCTTGGCAGTGACCCCTCCTGGTAATCCCTGATGTGCATGAGCACATCACGACTTTGCAAAAATAAGTGTGCAATCGATGACTGAGTATCAGTATCCTACAGTGAAATAAAATGACTTCCTCTTTCCCAAATTTCTTGGACCACCCAACTTTATGTTCATATATCCCCTATTAACATCCTGTAATTTAGGAAGTATATGCTTAAAGTTCTCCAACTTTGTGGGCTCGGCTCCCCTAAACTCTTATAACCCCGGCACTGTGCTGACTGCCATGATGTGGGGGTGAATCACTTTTAATCCCACGTTGATTACCTCCTGCGATCCAATGCCTTTCTCATCACTTGTCCTCACCACCTTTCCAAACCTATCTCCCCCATTTCCATCTGTGAGCTTTATGCCCCTCTTCCTCTCCTGGGCTGCTGTAGACTTCCTGAGCAGGCCTCCGCGTCAGTCCCCTTCCGGGCTTTTCCTCTACCAACTTCCTCCTTCCTGGACTCTGACCGCCCGCATCGGACCAATGAGATCCTTTCCATTTCTCACAAACCGCTTCCAACTGTGGCTCAGGGCCCCCTGGATCACCCTGTCCACGAGTAAGCTTTCTGCCACCTTGCTGCTTGACAGGTTTGTGTATCATTAATAGTTACATAACCCTGACATAATGCGGGGTCTTCCTGCTGCTTCTGGGGAAAGCCGCACACATTTGGTTCCCTACCCAAACCCTCCACTTCCATGGTCTAGGGAAACCCGAATCACCTCCCACCATTTTTATGAATTTCTAGTCTCCTCTGCTGCCAGTTTATGCTTCTGTTTTATCTGGGTTTAACACAAATGCAAAATTCAGCCCCTTTGCCAGTTTTCATTTAAAAAAATAAAAATCCACCACCACTGTCCAAATGTTTCTGGCATTTAGTTGACTTTCCCAAAGGTCTGGTGGTCTTGGGGTCCTGTTGCAGGCCTGCAGCCCCTCCTGCCCCCCACTGTGATTTTTGGTCACCTCCCCTCTTCCTGTTTCTCTCATCTCTTAGTGTTGCTTGTCCTTCTGCAAAATTCTTTTGGATGATTTGGAGTCTTGCATGGTACAAGGTACCCCCAGTGGCCTATGAAAGTATTTCTGCAGACCATTGCAGTGCTTTCCCTAAGAAAATCTCTACTCAGTGCAACTGAATATGCGTGCCAGAACAATTTGAAATAAGATTATACGTATTTATATGTCTGCCACGTACTTTCAACCACTTCTTGGCGCATGTGGATATGTGAATGCCTTTTGTCTCCTCTTTGACTGCAAGCTCCTGGAGGGAGGCATGCGTCTTACATAATGGCCAGGCATCTGTCCGCTATACTTCCTCGCATGGTCCTTTGCACAGAACAATCATTTAATAAATATTGAAAATAATTGAATTACTCACTTGGTTCTTACATAAAACAAAATTAACATTTCCCGGAGCATGACTTAATTAGCAAGCTAAATTGACTTTAGCAGATATGCATATTTATATATTTGTGTATTTATGTGTATTCACTTATATGCAATACCTAATATATAATATGTGTAAATAGCTATGTGTATTATATAATATGTAAATATATATGTATATATATATATATATATACATATATATATATATAAAATACAAAGAAATATATTGAATTGCTCCTACCATTTAAACCCAACATCTGTGCAGTGGTGGTGGTATTGGGTACTGGTGGTTGGGAGAAAGAACTGGAACAATTTTGTGTTTTCACCCCAGCCTTTCTTGTACTTAACACAGGAACTCCACAAAGCGGCGTCTCGGGTGCAGGGCTTTCATCCTTTAAAAACATGTTGGACATGTTTCCAGGCAGTCATCTTCCCCTGCGCTGCCCTTGGGGAGCACCCCCATGGCAGAGTTTCCATGTGAGGCCCCGGGAGCTCTCGCTACACCAGGAAGTGTCCTCCTGCGGGCCCAGCAGCGGGCCCCTGGCTCCCTGGTCAGCCGGCTTCCTCTCGCGGAGGGGATCCCACCCCAGGGGAGGCTCTTCATGGCCAAGAAGGCTGTGTCTAATGATCTCTGATCTGTGTGCCAACCCTGCCTTCTGGTTTGTTTGTCTCTAATCCTCACATTGGCTTTTTGTTCTTGGAGTGGTTGGAATGGATTTTAGTTTGGGTTTTCTTCATTTATAATAACTCTGGAATGTCATATACTGTGAAATGCTAAGTAGGGATGAGCAGCAAAGCTGCTTAAAATCCCACCAGTATGCTACAGCCCGTCATTTCTAAATCTGATTAACACTTAGCACCTGCCAAGCAGCAGGGATGATTACAGGCTCATATTTTAAATTCTTTTTGTGTTGGTGCGTCCCCCACTTTCCTACTCTGGGAAATCCAACGTATAGCACGGAGGAGTTAAGAAGTCACAGCCTCACTTGAGTTGTATTAGTATTAATTACCTGTGCAGATCTTGGATAATTGAAGCAATTACTCTTCATTTCAGCTCCAGGGCCTGGAATGGATGGTTTCCCTGTATAATAACAATTTGAACGGGATCTTAGCGGATGAAATGGGGCTAGGGAAGACCATACAGACCATTGCACTCATCACTTATCTGATGGAGCACAAAAGACTCAATGGCCCCTATCTCATCATTGTTCCCCTTTCGTAAGTAAAGTCATTTATTCCCTGCTTATCTTTCTGTAGGCTGTAGATTGCCCTATTAGTAGCTTGTCCTTGTTTTTCATTTAAGGCCGAATTTTCGCATGTAGTGGGATCACCAAAGGGCATCTGATCTGGACTTAGGTTTTCTCTTCCCACCCCCGGCCTTTTTGAATGGCCATTTAAACATGGGACGGAGTGATTTTATCAGCCCTTAGCAGCGCGCCGCCGTCTACATGGCCCGCACACTGCACAGCTGGGTCTTATTTGTCATCACACCTTAAGCGGCTCACGGGGCAGAAAGGTTTTGATATCTATTTTTTAAAGATTTCTTGGATTTTTTTTTTCCCCATGTCCCATTTCCAAAAGGTTACATATATTCAAAAAGTATGCCTTCTTAATTCTGCCTTGACTGTATCTTTTAAAGCAAAATCTACATCACAGTCGTAACTGGGAATTTTGCATTAAACTGCCTTCAGAACGGGCAGTCTGACGTCCCCGATTCTGCTGCTCCACAAGGACAGGTCTTCCTGTTCTCCACTCAATTCCCAGAGCCCGGGCGGTTCCTCGTAGGTCTTTTCCAGACTCTCCTGAGAGGAGGAATACCATCCTCCTGAGAGCGTAGTGTCTCTGGCTTCAGGTGTTAGATCACAGTTCTGTTCACTGAGACCTTTGCCGATCTCGGTGCTAACACAGTCTTGGACCTTGCAAAACAAACCAACGAAAAGCGTTCTGGTTTCGCATTTGCAAATTCTGTCCGAACGAGGACTATTTGCAGACCTGCTGCATCTGTATTATCCGAATCCACAGTATTTAGATATCCTTCGTATTGTATCTACGTTTCGAGGATCTATTTTGTTCTTTATCTATGTTTTTCATGTTCTGACTTCTATATTATGGTGATGCTTTCAGGGATTCAAAAAAAAAAAAAAGAAAAGGCATTCCATATCTCTCCCCCTGCTCCCTCTTGACAGATTTATTTAAAATTTTCATGAGCTTTTGTCATTTTCTTTTTCCTGACTCAACTTTCCTGTGAACTTATATAGCTGTTTTTTAATTTTATTATTATGTTATGTTACTCACCATACATTACATCATTAGTTTTTGATGCAGTGTTCCATGATTCATTGTTTGCGTATAACACCCAGTGCTCCATGCAGTTCGTGCCCTCTTTAATACCCATCACCAGTTTTTAAAGAGTCCCCAAATCACTCTGGCAGTTGCTGTTTTCAATATTGAAATTAAGGGGTTTTTTTTTCCCCCCCTCTATGTTTATGCATTTTTTAATTTTATTTTTTTCTTATGAGTTTCTTAGGAACTGACAAACACATTTGTCATGCTTTGGGGCAGCTTATTTCCCACTTATCTCTTATTTCCACACCTTTCAAAGAAATACGTAGTTGAGATATTTTATATTCTCTCTCCCCTTTCAAGGTGAGGCCTAAGCATGAATAAGAACATCTTTTTAACCACCGACTTTGATACCAATGTCTTTTTCTCTGTACGTTTTCTTTTTTGTTCTATAGGACTCTGTCTAACTGGACATATGAATTTGACAAATGGGCTCCTTCTGTGGTGAAAATTTCTTACAAGGTTTGGAATGCTGTATTTATATATAAATGTGGAAAAGCAAAAAATAGACCCTCTTTTTTTTTTTTCTTCATTCCATATGCACATCTGTGAACTGTATTTGGTTGTAAAGTTTTGTCATGTACATCATGTACCAAACAGTGTGAGTTAATCATCCCAAGAAGATTACTGTAATAAACCATAATTACTTTCAGATAGTGAAATGCAGAAGAAAATTGTTAATTATCATATTGCGAGGTTTCTGATGAGAGTAATACAAATGACAAATACCGCACATTCCGCGTGCCACCACCGTACCCGCTGTTCCTGCAAACTTCGGCAATTACCCGGGCGCCGGAGCTGCCTGCCGCCCGCTCCCATAGAAAGGGAGCCTTTCAGCCGAGCCGGGGGTTCTCTGCCACCTCAAGGTTGCTGTAATTTCCTTATCCGTCTTCCCCCTCCCGCAGTTTGCAGAGGGGAAGCCTGCCTATAAGGGTCTGAAAAGTGTCCAGATGTGTGCTGATTTCACCAAGCACTTTCTTTGTGGATAATGGATGTGTGTATGATAATGCATAGAGGTGCAATCTGCACTCACGTGTCTGGGCTCCATTAAGCCATGAATAGTGAGACAAAATGCACACATTACTTCCATTGGGTAATACATATATGTCTCTCTCTTTCCATCCAGGGCACTCCTGCCATGCGTCGCTCCCTTGTCCCCCAGCTGCGGAGTGGTAAATTCAATGTCCTCCTGACTACTTATGAGTACATTATCAAAGACAAGCACATTCTTGCCAAGGTATGTTTTTTTAAAAAAAATAAGTTCTTTTACCTCTAATTACGGACCATTGCACTGGAGTCTGAAGTATTCCCCTAATTATACTCACTGGTATAATTTGATCGTTAGATGGCTTTTCCCTCTCTCTCTCTCTCTTTCTCTCCCTCTCTCTCACTCTCTCAGAGTCAGATATATTTTGGGAATGGGTTTTAATTTGATGCGTGCTTTTTGTTGTTGTTGTTTCGTTTTGTTTTGTTTTTTTGGCATATGTCGTTGATTCTGGTTCTCTTACCGAGCCTCTCGTAGTTAATGAGTTTACATCTCTTAAAAAAATTCACCTGGGCTCCTTCTGCAACTCCTTTTCTCTCCAAAGGCCCTGAACGTGCTTGTGGAGGAAATAATTGTTTTGGTTGCCCTAGGTTATTGTCAGCAGTGTGACTTCATTCCTCTTGTGCCTCTGTCTCTCTAAAGACGAGTAGGCACCTCTCCATATGGTCTCCTCCCTGTGAACGTTTGTCCAAGCTGCGGCTTTGGTGCTATTCCTGGGCTAGGTTTTTTTTTCCCCTGGGAAAATAATGGGCCATTGTTTGGATGACTCTGGGCTGTTTCTGTGACTCTTCACTCGAAGCTGGGGAAGACTTGTTCTTCGAGTGTCTCCTAATTTGTATGTCCGAAGTTGTCCTTGAGCCAGAAGATAGAAAATTGTTCCTTGATTTCTCGTGCCTGGCCTCCTAACGCATTCACTCAGAATACCTTCTTTCGTGGGCCCGAACATGAAAATTTCATTTCTCTTCCTCCGGCAATTTCTCTTGCCCTGCGGTGTGTGGGAAGTGCTATAATCTGAAACTAAGCAATGGCCAGAACTGAGCAGAATCCCCGTTTCTGGGATCTGTTCTCTCTCCGCAGGAAACCTTTGCTCTGGGCACCGAGAGTTCCCTTCCTGACATCCCAGGGGCTCCCACAGGAGGCATAGTAATCGAGATGGCAATGGCCACAAGGCTGCGTTCCTGTTCCTCGTTCTCCGAGAGGAATTTGGCAGTGTCAGAAATGACACGTTTTCAATAGGACTCCGGGAATGTGTTCGTAACATCGGAGATCCTTTAAAAAAAAAAAAAGAAAAAAAAGTCCTATCACATCTTCTGCATATGTATTTCAGAACTCATCAGAGATGCCTGGTAATGAGATGAATTGCTTTTATTTGTTGCTGGAGGAATGAAGCTATAGAAGGGTTAGTGATATTTTGTCCAAGTGGAAGACTTAATGGGTAAATGAGTAGATTAGCAGAATCGAAGTCCTCTCTGATTCCTTGTTTATTAGGTCATTAGCTAAATTAGGAAAGTAGATTTCGACTGCTTACTTAAATACATTTGTATCTGCTGGCCTCTTTTCATGCTATTGGTAAGCTTGGGGTAGTTGTCCGTACGACTTCATTCTCATGGACACTTTTCTTAGAAATAGTGGAGGAAGAGTAAAAAAACAAAAACAAAACCAAAGCTCTGGTAGTTTCTTTTACCCAAACATCCCAGCCTAACTGATGGATTTTATATTTCTTCTCCCCCGACTTTACTGTCACTTCCTATGAGGAAGGCAGGGACCATCTAGAATACTCTGCTCGTCTGCCTCCTCTCTGGGAGCTTTGGAGCAGGATCCGGGGACATCTGAGCACCAGATGCTTTTCTTGGCCATTGCCACTGTTTTGTAGGGAATGAATAGGCTTAGTGGGACATTCCACATTGTTCTCACTTAAAGAAACTGAGACCAGTGACCTTGAAGAGGGCTGGAGGGTAAGTTATGAGAGAGGAAGAGACCTGCGTGCGGACTTAGGAGGGAAAATGGTGTCATATGGCCCTTTTTTATTTTTCACGCGGTAGTCATGCTGGGAAAGGAGATTGTGTTTAATTCCAAAGTTCTGGCAAAAATAGAGGAATGATATTTTAGCATTGTCTTCACTGGCAGTGAGTATATCCTTGCATTGTAGATATCTTAAAACAGTGATCCTAGACCTGGCAGGTAAGGACCTGGCAGGTTAAGGAGTAGGTCTGAACCCAGAGACTCCAGGTTGCCAGATCTTACTTTTTTAAGAGAAGCTGGACGTTCAGATTTTTGTGTGAAATATTGCAACTTTTAAATGTTAGCAGCTCATTCAAATTAAGAAGAAAAAAGAACACTGAGCTGAGCCAAGCCCTAACAATGTAACAATAGAAGCGAAGGCATGAAGCTGTAAGTACCTACTGATGCCATCTTGGAAAATCGGTCATTAATTTCTGCCTCAAGTGGAGAGCTCTCTTCTCTCCTTGCCATGAGCTGAGGCAGCATGAGCACTAAATCGGGGATAGCCGTCATGGTCTAGCACTGACAGAAGGTGTATTGGTTGGGGACACACAGGAGCTAGTCCTGGCCCAACCATTTCATTCTGGGCCCAAGTTCCCCTCTTTGGCAAGAGCAATTTGGAATCACATGGCCCCTAAGCAACACTGCTGCTTGACGTCCCATTATCACATGATGTGTTACATCATCTATCAAGTATGAGAAATAGACTGTTGAGACTTTTTTTTTATCGAAAGGAGAATCACACCATATTATACACAAAGTCTGAATTCCTTGGTTTTCCACACCACGGCTTGCCTGTTGGAAGTGGTTGTATTTTCCCTTTCTCACCGCCTCGCCCGTTGGTCCTTCCTCTTGTGTTACAGATTCGGTGGAAATACATGATCGTGGATGAAGGCCACCGAATGAAGAATCACCACTGCAAGCTGACTCAGGTGTTGAACACTCACTATGTGGCCCCCAGAAGGATCCTCTTGACTGGGACCCCGCTGCAGAATAAGCTCCCAGAACTCTGGGCCCTCCTTAACTTCCTCCTCCCCACCATTTTCAAGAGTTGCAGCACATTTGAACAGTGGTTTAACGCTCCATTTGCCATGACTGGAGAAAGGGTACTAGCCTAACTTTTGTATTTTCCACTGTATGGCAATGAACCGAATGTGAAGAACCCAAAGCTGAGAATGTTAGAGCCCAGAGAACCTGTAGACTAGTTGACAACGTCGCTTACGTTACAAAACTCATCAGTGGGTGTGTGTGTTCTCTTTCCAGGGTTGTTTTCTGCCCTAAGAAAATGGATCTAATGATGGGTCTAGGGTCCTAGGGTCTAGGATCCTTGATCATTTGCCGACACATTAATCAGGTCACTAGAGAATGATCCTGACTGATGGAATCCTTATCTGTATGGGCCACAGGGAGGATGAATGGAAAGATATTTGTTGAATCAATTTAACCAGATCCACCAAACCAACCGAACACAAACCTTAAAAAGCAGATATTTCCTTGTTGTAAACTTGGGCTTCTCTTTAAACTGTTTCCCCATGAAGAATCTGTGTGTGAAACTGAACTAACTCACAGTAGTTTTCTGCACACATTTTTTTCCAGTTTTAGTGTGAGCCTCCGTTTTGTGTCTACATTAATACTCCTCAAATCCCAGAGTAGCCATTTTCGAATCTCTTCTTCTCATTCCTTCCACCATCTATCTTCTCTTGGAGCTCATTTAGGAAAGGAAGACACGGGCCATTGCAAGGAAAAGGAATGGGTACCTGTCCTTTTGATTAGTGGTTTCTTAACTGTGGGAATGAAAAGCCACTTAGAAGGCTTTTGGGACATTTATGTTGGAACTATTCAGCACTTTAATTTTGAAGTACATTATAGGGACCTTTGCCTTTTGTCAGTAATTCATTGGCTTGCCCATTTCTAGAAAGTAATGTCGATCAAGTCTGCCCCCTAGAGGTTCAGAGAGAAAGGTGACATAGAGGTGCTAGAGAAGGTTCTATATAAAGAGGATTGACCAAGATCAGGGCAGAGGGAAGGAAGAATGGTGAGGTAGAGGGGCTTGGAAACCCACCACCATCCACTGGGTCTACTCTCTTCTTCTTTTCATGTTCTGACCTTGTCGCCTTAGAGTGTTTCTGCATCTGAGACAATCCAAGTTAGGAGCCTAACTTAAGGCTTCGACTTTGAGTAAGCACACATGCACTATTGCCCCTTTACTTGGGTTCTGTCTCAGTCTTCAGTAAGGCTTTGTTGCAGTCCTATCCAAAAAAAAATTCTGAGCTTGGGGACTGGTGGCTCGGGCCCGTTTTCCATGGAACTCCGCATTAAGACAAAGACACCCATTTAGAGGCCATTTTATTACCACCTGGCCCGTGGGAGGAGGATTCTGAGGTATGCATAACAGGTAAAGACCTGGCCTTCATGGACACAAAATTTCAATCACATATCACAACAAATTAATAAATGTAACCCTAAAGCGTTATTTCATGAAACATCATTAAAAAAAAAAAAAAGTCCGACTCATCTGAGGTTCTCTCGTAGGTGGACTTAAATGAAGAAGAAACTATATTGATCATCAGGCGTCTACATAAGGTGTTGAGACCATTTTTACTGAGGAGGCTGAAGAAAGAAGTTGAGTCCCAATTGCCAGAAAAAGTATGTTGCAAAATTCAAAAGCCGTGGTTTCTTTCCCTGCTGATCTCCCAAGTACTTGCGTCTGAAATTGTGTTTTTAAAACAGCAGGCTCGTATTTTAGTCCCAGGTATCTTGGAAATATCGTACAGGACATTTTTGTTTGGCAAAAGCTAGAGGTTTTAATGTAGAGAGAGAGAGAAGGGAAATTTCAATATTTTTCAGCCTGGTCTCCCTAAAGCTTTGGGGCCAGCTTTTATAAAATTACCAAATTCATCGAGTCTCCTGACATTTTCCCTTTCACTTACATCAACTCAACGTTATATTAGTTTAACATTATATTTTAAGTTTAGATTTTTTTTTTTTAAGTTATTAACCTCGTGAAGTTCATTCCTGCAGCTGCCACTGAATTGATCTGCTAGTGAGTCAAACAAGGATATGAGTTTGGGGCTTGCATCATCATCAAAAGGCCTCATAAACATTTACCAGGTTTCCTAGACATTTATTTAATGCTTGTGATGCTTGTGATATCACTCTTCGGGTAATAAGTGAAAAACATAGTTCCTGCAAATTGCAGACACGTCACCTAATTATTCTTGGACATGGCTTTTGTCCTACACCATAAAAATTAAGTTCCTGTGAATATTTTAAGCAGGTATTTTTCAGATGGCGTTTTGCACCTTGACTTCTCAGTGCTTGAGAATGTCTTTTGAGCCCTTTGCTCCACATTTTTTGGTTTGCTTTGGGTATTAGTTCAATATGTTCCTGATCATATTTTGGAACCACACACTTCTGAGTTCTAAATTTTATTCTCTTGAAGATAGGTTGTTTGGCATTGTACACTACTTGTTGCAGGAGGGGTATTTGGATTTGAGTTTTCTCTGTAGATGAGCCAGTTCTGAAATGTGTATTTTGCGTCATTGTGTTTTTTTCTCTGTAATGACTTCCGGTTTTTTGTACAGATTGGTTCGTCCTATTCATTTCTTAAGTGGGAGCCGACAAGAGAGCATACAAAGTTGATCACCTTATTAAGAGAGAATTTTGTTCCAGATTCCCCTATTCATTAACAGTCAGGGGGAAAAAAAAATTAAACTTAAGCACAGTTCTTATATCATGCTTATCCCAGCAGAAGCCTAAATATTGAAATACTTTATTTTGCTACTGAATGCATCTTGGGGATTGGAGTGCTCTTGATTTTTTTTTGACTTCCTATGGTCTTGGCGTCTTTGGGTAACCCCCTTACTGTTCAACGTGGACCTTGGTTACTGAATAAACTGGGGAATGGGTCCAGTGGTCATTTGGCCGCCTTGAACTACTTCCCAGCAAGAGATCCTGCAAGGTGTAGAGATGGATGTTAACGATTTTAATGTGTCCTAGACTTCTGTTTCTTTAGCAGAGGTATAAAATCAAAGGTAATTAACCAAAGTCCTTCATGTAGTCATTCTATAAAACTTCTTCATCTTTTTTTAATTTCCAGGACTAGCTAATACAGATAGACTTAAAAAGCACATCACAAGTTGGAAATATGCCCTGTTTGAAGAAAATCCATTCTATAAAAATCCAGACTTGCCCAGCATAAGGGTTATGGGGTGATCAGTTGTATCAAAAAGGAATTCTTTGCTTTACTAAAATATGTATTTCACTGCTCCTTCCACAGAAGAGCTTCCTGAGTCTTGGCAAACTTAAAAAAAAAAAAATTAGGATTAGATTATAGAGCATGTGTCTCTTGCATAAAGTACACTTAGACTCTTTAATACCCAGAGTATTATTTGAGGTACGTTAACTGCCCCGTGTGTGGCATAGATCTACGGCTAAGCTCCCTTTTATGGAGGCAGCTCAGTGGAGTAAAAATCACGGGCTCTGCCTGTCACAGCAGACCCGGGGCCCTCTCTCCACTAACCGTGTCACGTCGGTCAGTTAATCCAGCTCATCAGTGAACTGGCAAAGAAATACTACCTGTCTCACAGAATCATTGGGGATTAAATGGATGTAGGACCCATGAGTTGAAGCCTGGCGTGCGGTAGGCTCTCAACTGGTGACAGTCACTGCTACCGTACTCCTTACCGTCAGCTCCGGTTACTCTGACTTCTAGGTCCCTTTTCTGTTCACCTCAGGCTCTTTCTCACGCTCCACTCCTCGCGCTTTCGGTGTCCCCCCTCCCACCTCTGTGCTCATCAGCCCTTCCAGGGGAGTCGGGGAACTCATCACTTTGCACGCATAGGTGGCTGCTGTGGTTTGGTCTGTGTTCCCTCTCTACTTTTTCTGTCTTGTTAGGATTGTTTACCTGAGGGAAATTGGCCACTGAAGTGTCGTCCTTGGGGGGTAAGGAGCTTCCCTCCACCACCACCCTTATAGCCACGAACAATGCGGATGTCTTTCTCAGCCTCTATAAAGAGCTGGGCAGGGATTCTGGCTGATGGCAGGAAAAAGGCCACTGTTCCACAGCAGGAATTCTCAAATGCTCTCATGAAAAGCCACCAGTTAGGGAAGTGTTTTTTAATTTTATTTCTAAATTTACATATAAAATCCACTCTTTGGGGTATAAAGTTCTGTGGGCTTTGACAAATGCAGAGTTATGTGAACCACACGCACAGTCAAAATGCAGAACAGTTCTCCCTCCTAGTACCACCCCCCACCAAAGTCCCTGGTGCTGCTTGTTTTTGGTCAGATGCTCTCCGAAACCCTTGCCCTCATGCGACCACTGATCTGTTCTCCGTCCCTATAGCTCCACCTTTTCCAGAATGTCATGGGGATGGAGTCAGACATCATGTCTCATCATCACACCTTTTGCATCTGGATTTCTTCACCCAGTGTAACGTGTTTGAGCTCCATCCAAGTTGTTGCCCGTATCCGTGGTTGTCTCGTTTTTACTGTTGAGTTAGTATTCTCATCTATGGACGCGCCATAGCGGGTCTGTCCATTCAGTGGAGGGGATGGTTGGGTTGTCTCTGGCTTCTGACAATTATGGATGCATCTGCTGGACACGTGGTGCATAGGTTTTCTTTTCACTGGAGTAAAGACCCAGGGGCAGGCTTGCCGGGTCCTATGGTAAGTGCACACGTAGCTTTACAGGAAACTTCTGGAACCATTGTGCATTTGCACCAGCAATGTCTGAGCCTTGCATTTCCTCCACGTTCTCGTCCGTCCTCATCGGGTGCCGTCCGTTTTCTTGACATTTTTAGCTATTTCAACAGGTGTGCACTGGTATTGTGTAATAAATTTGCATTTTTCTAATGTCCACTGATGTTGGGCATCTTTTTATTGCATCTTTTTATCCATATGTCTTCTTGGATGAAACGGTGCTCGAATCTTTTGCCTGTTTGTTTTTTAATTGGGTCATTTCTTTTCTTATTGTTGAGTGTTAAGCTAGAAAAACTCTGAAAAATAGGAAATATATTTTGTGTGTACTAAACAGTCATTCTGTCTATTATAGCTGGACTTGAGCTCAGATGAAACTAAAGCAGGCATGTCAGGGTCAAAATTTTGACAAGTGCAGCTCTACTTCATAGCAAAATTAGTTTTCGTGGATGAGTATTTGATAAAAATGAGTTTTCACTGATGAGTATTTAATAATATTGTGAGTCTAGTGACACACCTAACGAGCAAGGGAAGGTACCATTCCCCCCAGTACACCGCACACCACCACCAAGCTATAGCATAAAATCCATTCCCTATACTCAGGAAAGAATGGCAGCTTATACGAAAGGACATGTATAAAACCTAATGTAAACTAAATAAAAATTGATTTTGCGATTTAGCTCCCATTTGGGGTTGTCTATGCTGACTGTCCACTAAGTTAATTCATAGATAATCAAGAGTCAACTACACTTGCAGACAGCTGTAGATACATATATTGACGTCTAAATACGCTAAAATATGTATACAATGTCGGAGGTTAACTAGAGGTTGACCTACCTAAAATCGATCCTAATTTTGATTTAATCTGCGTGAAACAACAAATCAGCTTCACCGAGAAGCTGTCATGATACAAACATTTAGAACGCTTGATGTAATTAATCATTACTTCGTTCCTCCCTCGCACCGCAGATTCCAGAACCTGGGACTTTGAAGTATGTAATCTTATTGTTTGGAAGTCTCAGTTCAGAAAGTGGTAACATATCACATCCTGTAGTCTGGGTGCACTGTTCCAATAATACATCCTTTTGGAAAGGATGTTGTAAGTGAAGAATAGTATTCAGGCAGAAACTATGAATAACGCCTGAATCCTTCTCTGGGGGTGGGTGGAGGAGACTCTGGGCCAATATGATCACCTGATGTGGCTCCTTATAAGGACCAGTTTGATCACTTACTACAGGAAGAATTCTTAGGCAAGAATGACCCTGGGCGTGAGGTCAGCACCTCAGTTTTACATATAACTTGAGCAAAAATAGCTCCAGGGGCTCACCAGCCTCACTCGTCGGGGGGGACTCCCCCATCTGAAAGGGGCACAGATTTCATTTCCTGCAGTGCCAGCATATTCTGAGGAACTTCATTCATGCCATCATCAGGTGCCATCACATCTCCAGGGGTGAGCTCAGACCCAGCAGAGTTTAGAGGGCATGATTATCATAGAAACTTCTCTCCCTTGGTCCCTGGCGGTCTGTGGGTATGTCTACTTTATAACTGTTCAGTCTGTCCTTTTCTCAGTACCTAGCTCTGGTTGGCTGCCTGCCGTGTGTATGGCCTGGGTGGAAGGTGCAGGAGTCACCCCGGAAACAGGCATGGTGTGACAGGTCAGCAGACGGGGTGGGGCGACACGGCCTACTCACCTTCGACAAGGGCATGTTGCTGAAAGGCCACATCATGCCCCCCATCCAGATGAATAATGCAGGCATTCAAGCCCTTTCGGGCAGCGGTCTCCAGAACACACCCTTGGTGGGGAGGGTTGTGTGTTTGGGCAGGGTTGTCTACTGGTACTCCCTTGGAATACAGAAACAAGATTTTTAGAACTTCCGTTCATATTCTAAAAATAAAAAATTAAGCTTCGTTGGCCTCTACCATACAGACTGACGCTGGTACCCACGTGGTGTGGGATCTGAAAGTCAGTCATGGGCCTGGGTTGGACTGGGGAGGTCCTCCCAGGGGAGCGTGATGGGGAACACCACCACCAGGGCACCTGACCGCCCACCCACCCCTCACAGCCCCGCTCCTGCACTTCCTGCCTACGGTGAGACTTAGTGTGGAATTAATACCCTGTGTCCAGGCCAGAGGATGTGGGAGGATCTGATTTTAACTAGACCAACACTCCCAGCCCCCAGCATGGACAAAGGGCTTAAGAAGATTCTGCAAAGGATTGCAGGTTGAACACAAGAAGAAGAACATCAGCAAAGGTACATAGGGAGAAAAAGGCAGTCCCGTCTCTTCTCCTGTTCCTGGTGTGGATTTTTATCAGCCACATCATAGGGTAACTGGGCTGGAATTGGCCAAAAATAATTAGATGTCATCAAATTGGCCCCTTGGAATAAATCAGTAGCCTTTAACCTTGACGACCATACCCTGAAAGTCCCATGTGTTTGTAGACATTAACGTTAGTGCATACATGTAATTCATAAAGAAATCTATGGGCGTGTATTGGGAAGCTGTGCTCTAGCGTGTCTTCCTGGTAAGGGGATGCCACTGAAAAAGCTTAATAACCACTTCTTTGAGAGAAATGAAAGGAGAAATTGACTTTGGCTGGTAGCTAAGGTGATTGGGGAAGACGTTTTAAGAAGCCCTCGAGGTAGAGTAGGAATTAGGAAGGAGGCAGTAAGAGTCACCCCCCCCCACCCCCACCACCACCACCCAACCCCAGGCCTAGAGAAAAGTATGAAGTCAAACAGAGCTTGGAGTTGCCTGAGAAGGCACGGGGAGCAAACGTCAAACACAGTTTTGATGCTTACGACGGTGATTTCAATCACGTGGATCACACCAGCTTCTGGTATCCCCTAATGGCGAAGGGAGGAGGGTTAGGGAGACTGCCCCATCTTCGAGCAGCTGTTGGGTCCTCAGGATGGGTTCGCCTCTCTTAGGTGACTGGAGTGCCACGGGTGGGTTTGGCATCCCTGTCTGCGTGGCATCATTGTACTCGCCTCCTGCTTCCCAAAACACTTAGCAGTCAGCAGTAGCTGACTGATGGGAAAGGGGGTTGAGGATGCCGTCCCTAATTCTGTATCTGCTGGGCCCTAAAGCACTTAAAAGCAAGCAGCGGCCATCCCTTCCTGCAGAGAATCCCCGATGATGGTGAACATGGGAAAGCCTGAACATCTCCTTGGTCATCCTCAGCATAGAGCTTAGAAGAGCAGACTCGGTTTCCAGTCCTAACTGCACCATTAAATACCCCTATCACTTCGAGCCAGTTTGTTGAACTTCTGATGCTCAGGTTCTGTATAAAATGCAGGCATGGCATGTGACCCTCTCCTAGAGCTCTTGTGTGATAAATGAGAGAAGGCACATAAAGCACTCTCTGTAGGTCCTAGTCCACAGAAAGAGCTCAGTGATATTAGCCCTTGGTGCCTTTTTTTTTTTTTTTTTTTTTAAGATTTATTGACTTATTTTAGAGGGAGGGAGCGGCAGAAGGAGAGGGAGAGAGAATCTCCTGCAGACTCCATGCTGAGCACAGAGCCCGACGCAGGGCTCGATCTCACGACCATGAGATCATGACTTGAGCCAAAATCAAGAGTCAGATGCTTAACTGAGCCACCCAGGCGCCTGCCTTGGTGCCATTTTTATGCTCCTACTGGTTGCAGTCTGAAGTCGTCTAACACTTTTCTTTGCCGTGATCAAATTTCATTTTGAGAGTGAACGTCTCGAAAAAGTCAAAGTACTTTAAAAATAGGACATGATCAGGCATCTAAAACAGAAAGCCTGTAGCAAGTGCATTCTTATTTATTAAACTTGGAGATTTCTGTTTTTTTCCCCTCTGGCCAAGGTCATTAAAAACAAAAACAAGTATATGAAAGGTCACCTGCTTTTCTTAACTTTTCTGCAAAGGAGCCAGCCTTTCTCCAGTCTTTTTGGTGCATCAAAACAAGTGGCGAAAGGCTATTAATTGCAGTTCCATCTGGCCTGACAGGTTCCTTCTGAAGCCGCATTTGAATGAATATTCAACTTCTCTTCATCTGTGACCTCCTCGCCCTGGCCCTCAGAGCTGAAAATAACCTGATCATTTTTAATCAGTTTATTAAACATTAGGCAGCTTGCTGATTTACTTTTAATCACATTCTGCAGATTTCTAGGCATTTATCTGACGTTTATTATGAAAATTGCACATTTGTATTCTGGGGATTTTTTTAATGAAGAAAATAATACTGGGAAATAATCAAGGCAGATTTTATGCATTAAGAACGTGCTAGAAGTATTGCAGGTGTGTGCTAAGCCAAGGGCATGTGAATTCCCTTTAACTGTTTTAAATCGGATTTTTTTTTTTTTTTCGATAGTCCAACTGGAGGCCCATGAGGCTTTGCCTTCTTTAGGTGGTCATAAAGTTGCATCCAATTTTGGATTAATTCCTCTCCCCCACCTGCTGTCCTCACAGGTAGTATTCTCTCACCTCTGAAAAGCAGAGGTTAATGGCAGACAACCTAGGGCTATTACAAATCTCACGTGGATTAGTACTGGGGGTCGCTGCATATGACCATTTAAAAAAATTGTCTTACGGGGGCTCCTGGGTGGCTCAGTTGGTTAAGCAGCTGCCTTCGGCTCAGGTCATGATCCCAGGGTCCTGGGACTGAGCCCCGCATCGGACTCTGCACTCAGCGGGGAGCCTGCTTCTCCCTCTGCCTGCCACTCTGCCTACTTGTGCTCTCTCTTTCTCTGTCACATAAATAATAAAATCATAAAAAATAATAATACATAAATAATAAATCAAAAAATGTCTTACAGAGCAAATCTTGGGATATTGGGCAGTCGGTGTTTTTCTGTTCATGTGAAAGAGGGTGTAGCGGGGAAGTGGAAGAAATACTAGGAAGAAACTCTATATTGAGCTTCTTTGACTTTGAACAGTTTGTAAGCTCCTCTCTCTCTCTCTCTGTCTCTCAAATATGGAGCAAGGCAAGAAATTTCAGAAAACGTGACCCTAGCCTCAATCACGTACACCCTTTGGCAGGTCCCTCCCCCGTAATGGTACCTTTAGCAGTGATGACCGTGGTCTCCACCACCACCCCCATCCCACCCTCCACTCCTCGAATCCAGGGAGGGGAAACGGAGGGACCCACAGAGTTCCAGGACTGCTGCCCGCTACCCCGTCCCAGCTGTCTTCTCAG